CCACTGAAAGACCAGAGGCTGCAGCAATCATAGAAAATCCTGTGTTTGAAGACTTGGAACTCCCGCCAAAACCAGTGCTTAGGCAGAGGTCACGGACAATGAGTTTATCAGGAAATAAACATTCAAGACAACCAAGCAAATAATTATCCTCAGGATCACTTCTTCCACTCGGCAGGTTTTACAGGGATTGTTCAGCAGAAGGATCCTATGATGCCGAATGTCTGTCTTGGAAATAGTTTACTTAAACTTTTTTTGCCATATTTAATGTATAAGACGTGTTGGACAGATGTTTGTTTACTTTGACAGCCAACGAAAGCCAGTAACCACACTTCTCACATTCCATTTTTCTTACCTTAACTCTCCTAGGCGGATGGGTCCAGCTACTGTGCTTACCAATGTCGTGCTCCATTATCGGTTTTTTGGGTTTCTTGGGTTTTTTTGAAGCTTTTAAATGTCGGCTTGCTGGGTGCATGAGAGATCTGTAACATGTAAATAGAATTAAAATACTGTATTTTTATAGAGCAAATTACAGTCTCTAAGCCTAGTGAGTGTCTATCTGGATCACTTGCTCTTTGGTGAAATGAAGATGATTTTGAAATGAACTATGACTCCATTTTTGTCCCTGGTGGGTAAACTGGGAATCTGCACTATTTTTAAAGCAAAAAAGTACCACAGTTGTACATACTGTCACTCTCCTTAGCCAGTCATTAGAGGAAATCGTTTCATACTTCTGCACTATTGTAGGTCTTAGGGAATGCATTTTATACAGATAAACCTGTAGAGAAGGAAAAGGAGCGTTTTGCCATTAAAAAAGGGGGGTTTATAGGCAGTGGTTGGAAGAGCCATAGTAAAAATTATGTACAAAAATGTTGTGATTCTGAAAATTTAAACCTAATGAAGTCATACGTGTCGTATGTAATCTTGTAGATTTGTACTTTTTAAAAAAATCAACTGGTAGGCATTTCTGTAATCTGCTAATTTAACTGCCTAATGCCATGCTTTTATTTCTCATTGTAAATATGTTAATTTTTATTTATAAAATACAGAATCAATCCATTTGGGTTGGTAGTGTACAGAATGCACTTGCTATGATTGTTGAGTGCATTAATTATTGTGACTTCTTTCAAGTCTAAATGATTTAAGAAATTTTTTTTATTTATAAAAAAAAAAAATAGTAGTTGTTTCTGTTGAAAGCTTGCATCCGTGCGTGCCGCAGATGCTGCAGCTGGAACAGGAGGACGGGCCCCGCGCTGCTGGAACGGGCTTTGCTTTCCTGCTCGCTTGGCGCAGTGCACGTGAGGGTGCGGAGGTGAATACGCCGCTGGGGAGCGAGATGCTGCCTGAGGAGAGGAGGGGATTGAGCTCTCCCGAACCGAGTGGGTGATGGAGGCAGTGTCTCAACTGTTCACAGAGAGGGGGAAAAAGAAGGGATAATTCTTGCGCCATTAGAACTGGTTTTGCGTAAATGCATTTTCCTGGTTTACAGGCTTAAATTTTTGAAGTTGTACTCTCTGAAATCAGTTTAACAAGATGCTGGATTCAAATCCTTCCGGGGATCACTGTACCGTGGTGTGACACTACGACTAGCGATTTCACCCGCTGTCACTCTGCAGCCTGGGGATAAGGCAGAAGTGGATTACCAAGATTGTCCTCCTTGTGCCCTCCTTGTACTGTTGGAGAACTCTCCTAGGGACTGGCTTGGCCCGCTGAAGCCAGAACGCTGCAGTGAATGTTGGGTCAAAACCAGAACCTTATCGAGCTCAACTGGGTTGAAACAGGAGACAGTTAATTGCGTCCTCTTCCCTTGGATTTCGCTGTTAGCATCAGCTATAAATACACAGCTAAATGGCTGCGTTTGAAGCCTCCCTGGCTTCTCCACCAGTTCAGTGATTACTGGTGCAGCACGGGAAGCGAAGAGTGAGGGTTTTTTAACTCGCTGGGTATCTGGACTGGATGGAAGTAGCTGCCTGTTCCGAGGGCCCCGCAGCATCTCAGTACCAGAAATGGCAGACGTGTCCGCGCTGGGCGCGTCTGCATGGTTGGGGATGTTACACTCGCCCTCAAAGGCGCGTGCAAATCCTACCCTGTGCAGTGCGTGCCCGCCCGCAAGAGCGCCTGGCCACGCTCAGCTCTTACCTGCCTGTGTCGGTGAGTCTCCGAGGCTGCTCTTAGCGCTGGAGGCTGGGGTGTGCTGGCCCGGTCTTTGCTCCTTTGTGCTCCAGGGTTTGACTAAGAAAGACTTTTTCCCTAACCAGAAAGGGTTTCTCTGAACTCAGGTCTTGCCTGCAAGCCCTCCTTTCCCTGCCTCTGGCAGGTCTGCTTGTTGTGCCCCACCAGTGGGCGAAGAGGACGCTTCTCCAGGCTATGAAGTGTCCATCTGGGCTTCAACACCCCTATCAGCTCCAGGGCTATTTTACCAGCTCTTCAGAACCAGGCTACCCAGGGGGATTCACCTCCCATCTTATTTTCCTTCTTTAAGTCAGGTTTTAATTGTACTACACCTCCCTGTTCCGTCCCTGTCCTGCTGCCAGATGATGTTCTTCAGTCAACTCGGACTGAATGGTCAGCTACGAGTGAAAGACCAAAGGCCTTTGGGCTAACGTGCATTTGCTCTCCGCTCACGTCCTGGAAGGGAATGCGATGAAGGCAGGCTTTTCTCAGCTCTGTACAGATGACAGCAGAAGCTTTGTCTACGAGATCCCAGTCTTTACACGACAGCCCTGCTGACAGGAACATCTGATGGCTCACAAGACAGGTTTATTTGCCTTCTTTCAGTTTATCAACATCTAGAAACCAACTATCAGACTGTCTCACGTCTTCCCGTGGCCATGGAAATCGGTGTGTGCCTTCCGCCACCTTTTTTTGCAGAGGAACACCTGAACAGAGGGGCTGGCACAGCTGCTGGCTTAGAGCCCTGCAGAAGGCAGCGGTGGTCTCGGGCTCTGCTCTCTGTGCAGCACGGCAGCCCTAGCCTGTTCTTGCAGAAGATGTCACCTGTTCCTCAGCTCCCTCCCCACCATAGGTGCTGAAACACTGTTTCCTTGCCCTGTTTTAGCAATACAAACTGGGTGTCAGGAGAAAGAATCCTGTCCTCTCCACCTCTGTGCCCACCAGACCTAGAGGCTTCCCCCAGAACAAGGGCAGGATTGTGTAGTTATTGTCCTTATCGCTGCTGTGTTGTTATTGGAGACGTCGGAGCTGGGAGACGCCCACGCCATGAAGAGTTGTCTGACAGGACTGCAGTGCTGCAACCCCAGGTCACGGCTGTTTCTCCTACCAGGCTCTGGAGAGAGAACTTCTGACCCTCGTACCAGCGTCTTCAGTAGCTGAGCTGCTCCAGGCAGTAGCTACTCGCTTTTTGCTCTGAGGACAGTCCTCTGCTACCTTTGAGCTGGAAGAGCAGACAGATTCAGGATTTTCCCTAACCCTCCATTTCTTTTATTTGTTAACAAAGTGACGTTCTTCATCCCTCCAAGTGCCTCGCTCCAGTAGTTTTAGCGTTGAATGCTAGCCTGGCTGTCTTTCTGCTGTGTTTGCTCTGCTGCCCACGCTGCAGAAGTCTTGCGTGTCCCAGGTTAGCTGATCGAGTGCTCAGAAAAAGCTATTTTAGAAACCATCCCTGAAGCGTGCCATGTCCACAAAAAAATCGGTCTAAGAGCAGGCTCTGAGTGTGGTGACCTCTCCACCTAAGCCAGCCTGACGCCCCACCAGCACTGTGCCGGGGGAAGTGATGGCTGCTGTCTCAGCAATCGCCAGCCCGCACATGACTCTGCTACAGAAAAGCTGTGGTCCCGGGGGTTCGGCTCCTGCTTTTACCCACTGTCATGATGCTGCAGAGACGCTGGGTACGGTCCTGGCTTTCCAGGGTAATCCTTCAGCGAGGTGCTCCGTGGCCTGCCTGCAGGGAGCCGGAGCTGCTTGATGCTGTGTGAAGTCCGGACAAGTTCTTGGGAGCGGTAAAAATAATCATTCCTTTTATTATCTTTTTTGTGTGTGTGTGGCTGTGTGGTGCAGCAATACTCTACAGCTACACTCGTGGCATGAAAGCATAGACAGTGCAAAACGCGCAAGTAATAATTCCTCTTCCCATTCCCTCTTTGGCTGGTCTTGGCCATCTGTAGCCCCCTTTGAACTCCCTGGGCGCTCGGTGCTCTTGATGTGACAGAGAAATGTTGCAGCAAGTCTTGCTCGTCTCTTGGGGCTGCCACATCAGATATTCCCTTCCAGAATGAACAAGGGACCTTACAGATCATTCACAGAGAGCCACTGAAGCAATGAGCTTAGTTTTTACAAACAGTAGCCACACTGTCTGTGCGCATCAAGTGTTTTTCCTACCTGTTCCCGCCTGCTGCTGGACCCGTCCTGTAGTGTTCAGCACCAAGTCTGAAACTGGAAAGCTCTGAACCTCTCAGAATTTCAGAAGCGAGTGAGTCGAACCCTGAGCCGCCCAGGCTGTGGAGAGCACAAGCTGCTGGAGCACGCGCTGCCTTTGTGGAGGAGTGACCTCTGGTCTTTGGCCACATCCAGCTTGCCAGCTCCCGTACACAGACTGACACACGTGGAGTTACTAAAACCGGTCAGGTTTGTAATGTAAGCTGCAAGACAAGAGCTACAGTGGCTTGGTAAGAAAGAAATACTGTCTCACCTAGGTTGTAGCTCACCAGGATGTACACAAAGACAAGTTCATATTATCATACTGATTTTTTTTTTCCCCAGAGGATTGATTGGGAATGAAGATTGAATTTGTCTTAAGACATGCTCATTAAAAAAATAATTACCCAGGAAGGAATTAGCTCCATGAGTTGTAACAAATTGCCCCTAAAATATCAAAGTTCCTCATTTGTAAAACTGGAAGATGAAGAAATGCATCTTTGTCGTTTGCGCCGAGCTGTAATATTCCAGCCTCTTCTTCCCCTATTTTCCTACCCGTTAATCTCCCATCAGGGTGTGCTCCGGCACCTTCTATACCACCACTTCCAGCATCTGCTCCTCCATCTCTATTACTTGGGTTTGCCCTTCAGGACACCGTTGGGCACCGGCACTGTAATGCTATATTCTAGGTCTGGAGCAGTCTTGGAAAAGGTGGCTATGGAAACTATGTCCTCTCCAATGTCCACCTGAGACCTGTGCCTGCAAATGAGCAGCTTCTTCAGGGCCCGTTGGAAGTCCCGGTTCAGGAAAGCATAGAGCATTGGGTTGATGGTGGAGTTGCAATACCCTAACCAAGTGATGATCTTAAAGGTGTCAACCAAGACCGTGCTGGTGGAGTCGGTGCCTCTGGCAGCGAGCCAGACATTCAGGACAAAGAAACGAAATGATGATGCTGATGGTCCGCGTGGCCTTGTTCTCCAGCTGCAGATGGTTCTGCCGCTTGCTGTTGGGGTGGTAGTGAATATCCAGGGTCTGAGACATGATACGAGTGGCCTTGAGCCGTGAAGCTCGGTAGATGAAGAAGTACATGCTGCACATGACCATGAAGGGGACAAAAAATGCCAGAGCAGAAGCCACAATGAAATGATGATGCTGATGGTCCGCGTGGCCTTGTTCTCCAGCTGCAGATGGTTCTGCCGCTTGCTGTTGGGGTGGTAGTGAATATCCAGGGTCTGAGACATGATACGAGTGGCCTTGAGCCGTGAAGCTCGGTAGATGAAGAAGTACATGCTGCACATGACCATGAAGGGGACAAAAAATGCCAGAGCAGAAGCCACAATGGCAAAAATCCAGTTGGTGACGAAGATGCATTCTCTGCCTGCATCAAAGTCCACGCCGGGGATCTCGTTCCAGCCTTGCATGACGGGAAGGAAAGAAATGAGGGAGGAGTATACCCAGACCATGCAGGTCATCACAATGCATCTGCGATAAGAAGAGATGGGGAGGGGAGAGAGGGTCTGAGTTATTTTGAGTTGAGAACATCCAGTACAATTCAATCCCCACGGTAACCCATGTGGGATATCACCGCTTAGCAGTCCCATGGGGCTTGGAGAAGTGGCCAAGCAGGGAAACAACTGGGGTACAACAAGTCCATGTGTGAATATCTCTAACGGCTGGGCAATTGGGTCTGTGTTTACAGAATTGGGGTCAGCGTAAGGGATGCTCAGAGCTGGCTGAAGAAAGAGGAGGAAAGGTTTTACAGAGGATTTTTGTTAATATTTAAAAACAACAGCATGTAGATTTTTCTATCTGGTTTCAGGTTTAATATCTGCCCATTATCTTATCCTCTGAGGAGTAGTAGTTGTGGAGCTGATGGACACTAGGTCCTCAGCACCGCTGCAGTGCTTGCTCTGTGACAGGGCGTGCTGCGCAGCCCCCTCCTCATTTTGGTGACTGCCCGCGCTCCACAAATCCTACACAGCAAGAGTTCCAGTGGGAAAAACATCCCCAAAAGAGCCTGAACCCACCTGGTAAAGCACCCCAGAGCTGTAGCATCCTCTCTGCCCACCCTCAGCCAGCCTTCCCCACCCTGCAGCCCTCATTTCAATGTTTCACATGAAACCAAGACAGGAGCTTAGAAACTCGTCCTGTTTTCTCTGCATTTCCCCCGTGAATATCACTTCAGAAAACATTGTGAGTTTAAGAGAGGGAAGACTACTGTTACTGCATTCTTTTTTGGTAGCACGTTTGGTCCCAAGTCAATATAGACCATGGCCAAGTAAAAATTTGTGGGACCCCGAAGTGAGGAGCAACTCACCTGCCACGGGACATCCTCCTTGAATAATGGTATGGGGTCACCACGGAGCAGTATCTGTCCAGGCTAATGAAGCACAACGTGACGATGGAAGCAGTGCAGAACATGACGTCAAAGGAGATCCAGACTTTGCAGAACAGCTTCCCAAACAACCACATCCCCGTCACCTCGTAAATGATACTGCCAGAGAAAATGGGTAGACACCAAAGCTAGAAGAGTTGATTTCATGGATTTCTTCAACATTCCACTGAGGTAACATCATATTTTAATGTGGAGGTACTAAAGATGGGTGAGCAGTGTAGGGAGGTTCAGACAGGAGGGATTCATCCTCAAAGTGCAACCCATGGTAATAACCCACAGATGTGGCATGGCTGAAGAAGACCAAACCTGTGCTTCTTGCCTGTGCTCTGAGTGCCTTTAGAGAGGTTCTTTACCCCTTAAAGCTCCCCAAATTTACATGTGCACAGATTTGTTTATCCCAGTGTTTCCAGTGCTCTGTGGAGTATGCACTTTCATGATTTCTCCCCAGTTCCTGGGCATGGAAGATGCTCCCTCCTCCAAGAAGCTCGCTTTTCATCTGGTCTCATGCCTCAAGACTGAAGGATTTCGAATCTTGAGTAAAATAAAATGAAAATCCTAGGAGGAAGCCTAAGAAGCTTGTATATCATGTTGCTCAAAGACGCTTCAACAAGGTAAAAACACCAGCAAAAAGCAGACATTATGCCAAAATTATGCCTAACAAAGTCAAGAGGAGCCTGTAAGAAGTGAGCAGCAAAAGAAGGAACATATGGCAGCTGTAGGAAGGCTGATGCATGTTTCTATAGCATTCAATTAGCTGCCATTTGCTTCCCCTTTCTTTCCCCAGCTTTCTGCAACTCCTGGGGTGCTGCTGAAATAACCATTGTGTGCGAATTCGATGTGAAAGGCTGAGGAACTACCAAAGCTTTAATTATCCTCTAACTTCACAGCTTGCTGGTCAAATACGGTGAAAGTAGGGCTGCTGCGCTGCAGTGCGCCCAGGTGGGCTCTGCCATCCAGCAAGGGCAGAAAGAGTCAACTTCATGTCAGAGGAGTCAGAAACCAACCCCTGCTCTGCATCTCATTAGCAACAATTCACTAAAAAGGTTTTACGAAGGTTGTTTTAGAGCACAACTAGTGTAAGTGTGCATAGTGCTGGCTGAAGGGCCCCAGCCCTCGTCGGCTTTTTGTTATGCAGGATGCTATGCAAAAATTCAAGCAAACTTTACTCTACAGCAGAATCTGTCCCTACACCGCGGTGTCCTCCACGTGAGCAGCATGGAAGGTCCCACTGTGCACATATGGAAAGGTTTCATGGCTCTTTTCTACATGGGGAAATGAGACATATAGAAGTTGAAGCATGGGTCCAGTAATGGACTTGGGTGTCTTGGTACCACTCTTCAGAAGTCCTCCTTATCTCCAGAGATGCTCCAAAGCCTGTGTTGTGAGCACCATGGCCTTCCAGAAGCAGACCATGCTGCTGTCATGAACAACCCTGCACACAGATCCCAGCTGAGCAGGCATCTAGCTTTTGTTGGCACCCATCTGGCGGGATGTGTCTGATCTAGCAGATGACTTTGCTCTGGTGAGACCCCACCTTGAGTCCTGCATCCAGCTCTGGAGCCCTCAGCACAGGACAGACCTGGAGCTGTTGGACTGGGGCCAGAGGAGACCACAGCAATGATCTGATGGCTGGAACCCCTCTGCTGGGAGGAAAGGCTGGGGGAGCTGGGGCTGTTCAGCCTGAAGGAGAGGAGGGTCCGGGGAGACCTTATTGCGGCCTTTCAGTACCCAAGGGGGGCCTACAGGAAAGCTGGAGAGGGACTTTTTCCAAGGGCATGTAGCGATAGGACAAGAGGGAATGGCTTGAAACTAAAAGAGGGCAGATTTAGATAGATATAAGAAAGAAATTCTTCACTGTGAGGGTGGTGAGGCACTGGCACAGGTTGCCCAGAGAAGCTGTGGCTGCCCCCTCCCTGGCAGGGTTCAAGGCCAGGCTGGATGGGGCTCTGAGCAGCCTGGTCTGGTGGAAGGTATTCCTGCCCGTGGCAAGCACATTGGAACTAGATGATCTAAAGGTCCCTTCCAATCCAAACCATTCCATGATTCTGTGATTCTATGTTCTCACAGCACAGGGTAGTGTTCCCTCTTCTCTGATGTAAAAGGTCTCTGCAGCTTGGAAGTGATGCTGGTTAAAAAGGAATAATAAAAGCCCAAAGAAACACACAGTGTGAGCAGAAGTGAAGTCACCTCTATGTTTCACTTACGTTTGTAAAAGAAAAGAGTAGCTGGAAATACTGAGCCTGGAAACGACTGGCCTGGCTGGAGTACCCAGATGCCAAGCTAAGCACAGCTGAACGGCTTCTGCAAACAAGCCAAGCCGGGAGCAAAGCAGAAGTCTTACTCTTACAAAATTAAGGAATCAGGTGACAGCCTTGATTTCCCTTTCTATCACAAAACCACTTTTTCCTGCGCCAAACTGGTTCGTAAGGTCATTTCTTTTCCTTCTCTTTGGCATGTGCTAACACACACACCGAGAAGCAAACTGCAATTCAAAAGAGCAATATAGATATGAAGCTGAGACAGTGGGAAAGATGTGGACCAGCAGCCACTCCATCAGCAGGGCCAGTGGAGGGCTTGATGGAGCCGGCAGGGTCCGTTCCTCACCACGTGGCCCACCGAGAGCCGGCAAATCTTCACACTAGGCAACACCAGGACATTCAGGAGGGGCACAAAGCATCAGTCGTGCTCTGCTCTTTACTCCCTTTGTGGTTTGTTTTTTTTTTGCTGTTAAATAACACATCACTCTCCTAGGTGGGCTATATTCTCTCTGGCTGCATAGCAAAGCCATTGTTTTTCATGGAAATCCTTCTGCCCTACTAATTTCTGGACTGACTCTAATTTCTGGACTTCACAAAAACATGGAAATGAGAATAAAAATAGCCCAGGGACTGGGATGAAAAACTCTAACTTCTGGAATTAACAAGAACATGGGAAGGAGAATAAAAACAGCCCAGGGAAATGCCCGGTAGTGGAAGAATTGTTGCTTTAGCTGATCTTTGGTGTCTGACACGTTGGTTTTTCCTTTCTAGGAGGCTGAAATGGTCTGCCACATTTTATTGCAGTGATCTCGTCCACGCAGTTGGAAACATCAGAGCTTCTCTTGGGAAAAATTAGTAGGTGCTACTGTTGACAGGAGCGCAGGCTCGCTTCTGCATCCCCTCTGGGCAGGGCAGGGGGAACCACGTTATTTTGCAGGCAAGCCCAGCTCGAGCCCTGCAGACTCCACCATTCCCAGTTGCAGCCCAGGCCCAGCCCAGTTTAGGCTGGTAGTTGGAAATGGGGAAGGAAGCCGATAGCCAGACTGCTGCAGCCACGTCAGCCACATCCTCACCCACACACCTGCTCGGAGCTGCTGGTGATCCTCAGGGAACAAGATCAGCCAACCTGGAGACCCTTCTCACCGCCGTCTGGCAAAGAGCCACTTCCACAATCCCACCTTTCTCCAACATAGGGCAAAATCCCCACTATCACCAATACAAATCTCCTGGTTAAGTCTCTACCCACTGACTTTAATAGGCCAGGGGAGGTTGGATCATCATCAACTAAGCTGCAATCCAAGCCCCTCGGGCAGATCTTTGTAGCACCAGTGGAGGGTAGGGACCGGTGAACACAGATGTACGATTCCAGAACCTGAACTTCAAAATTCACCAAGTTTAGAATTGAAATTGGCAGTAATATTTTTTAAAGGGCATCACTGACCGCTTTTTTTTCACCTGACACTATAAACTTATAACTCAGCTTGCAATTGCTTGTTGAGAAAATATCTTTCAGTGCCAAATTCGAAAGCGTAGGCAGCCCTGTAAGAACTAAAGCACAAAGCGTGGAGAGTTCAGCTTCCTGGTACTGCTCCGAGAACACGAAACAGAGTGCAGCCCCCTGATTTACACAGACCGACGGCCGTTTTGCAGCAGAAGACAGCCAGAGCCTACAAGTAAACTGGTTTCTGGTTTTGTTTCGCTGTGTTTTAGCCAGGTAGTGAAGCTCCCGTAAATACAAACCTCAAGCAGGGAGAATTGCCCTCTGAAGTGCCTCTCCCTCCGTTAAATATAGGGGGAACCTAAATTACCCTACTTATACTAAAATAAAATCCTGACCTTTACACACAGAGAGGGGAGATGGCCTTTGTCCCCATGCCAACACTTCCAGTTATCGACGTGCAGTGCAGTCAAGTAACAGGGGCAGAACAGTTCCCCCAAGTGCAGCGAATCCCATTTGTTATCCCACTGCAGACTGCAGATCTTTTAGACTGTTCTGTTTTGCCAGGTCACTGGCCTTCCCCACCAACTCCACCGGTACATTGCCTGAACCAGAAGGAGCAATGAAAATCCTGTGTTTCACCAAGAATATGCAGAATAACATCTCCACAACAGCCTTTCAAGTTCAGTAATATGAAATCATCCATTTTCTTACACGAGTAAGGATCCTTTTCACTTCTCCCTCCCACTACCAGAAAATGAAAGATAAGGTTAAAGAAGTGTAAAATCAAAAGCACAGAATTGAATTGATTTCAATAGTCACTCCTGACTAAGAAAAATGAGGGAAAAACATACTCCATGGTTTGCTCTACCTTTGAAATGCTAGCTGGGTTGACACAGCCATCGCACTTCATGCTGACGCACCAGTGGCGATCCTCATCTCGCATTCCCCAAACACTCAGAGCTTGCAAAATCATCCAGCAACCGTGTTGGCCCTGCGTGCAATGCAGAGCTGGTGCTGGAAGCAAGGACTCGTCACACTGGAGCCACCTGAAAAGCTGGACATCCAGTTGAGACCAGCAGCCAGGGTCCCTGGGTAATCAACATGGAAACTACCCTTGGGAAGCCTCTCTCTGTTCGTTATAAGGGGACCCATTAGAAAGGGTAGGGAAACTGAGGCACAGAAGCACATACAATCACTGACTCACAGTTAAGCTCTTTGGAAAGCCCAGCCCAAAGCACAGCACGTGAACTTCGAGCCAGCCCTGCTCCAAGAGCTGCTGCTGAGCTGGCAGAAATGACATTGCACACACACACAGCCGTCTGATCTTCTTACCTGAAGGGCATGACCAGACAAGCTACAAGGAAATCTGCCATGGCTAAGGACATGATAAACATATAGGTGACGGTGCGCAGCCGCTTCTCCACCACCGGGCAGATGAAGACTACTGTATTTCCCAGGAGCGTGATCAAGTCAATGAGGGTTAGTATCAGCCCAATGACCACCTCCTGGAGGCCAAGCCCTGCCAAGCTGCCATCTCCTTTCACAAAGGAGGAGGCAGCAGAGGAGAAATTAGAGAGCCAAGATCCATTTTTGTCCATCAGCATCTTCCTACTACTAAAATCTGAAAGAGAAGAAAGGGAGAAAATAAATAAATAAGGACTTGGATGCACATGACTTGGAGGTCTATGAAAGGAGGTACAGAAACAATGTTTATGCTTCATTTACTTCAAGAAAAATCCACACACCCTGCTGAGTCTGTGCCATCACTGTCCCATGGTTATTACTCCATTAGAAGTGTCTGAAATCCTGAGGATGAGGATAAATGTGCAACATTGGCTGAAGTCCTTCATGGCAATTCCCTCCTGTGAACAAAAAGTGCATCATCAGGTGAAGCATGGTACAAAAAAAACCAAAACAAAAAAGCACTGAAAGCAGAGAGCAACCAGAATCCCAATTTAAAGCAGCTCAGCTAAATCCCACTGAACAGCATGCCACGTCCACAAAATGTGGGGGTTGGAACCAGATGGTCTTTAAGGTCCCTTCCAACCCAAAGCATTCTATGAGCCTGTGATTCTATATTCCCATCATTGTCTTTGCCACCCACAGCCCAGGTGAAACTGCTCGCCTAGGCTGGCTGCTTTTGTAACTCACTGTTCAGCACGTGCTCTGCCCTGGGTTGTCCTGGTACTTTTTTAGGTTGTGAGGTTAAGGGATTTTTACTACCACGGTGGGCAGCCCTGTCCTGCAGTCTGAATGGCCGTGCAGAGCTGCCAGCAACCACGCAGGGAGCTTAAGGCAAGTGAGGCTGTCACTGAGGTGGCTCAGATGCAGCAGTGACCTCAGACTCACCTTGTTCTGCGCCCAGCTGGGAGAGGATGCTCCCAGCTCTGCAATGGGGGACTTTTCTGTCGAGGAAATTCATGTGCTTGTGTCCACAGCTCAGCTCAGCTCCCAGACTTTGACTGAGCGGTGTCACAGGTGCCTGGGACGGTGGGAATGATGCGCTTCAGAAATCCCAGCAGCTGAAAATTCACTGATGTAGCTAACAGGAACACAAAGGCTAAACTTGCAGGGAACAGAATATTACACAAATATTTCCAGACATCAAATTGTTATATTTGAATACCACAATTTCTCCTGTGACTGGGTTCTGCTTCCACAGGTCAATCCCACATCCCCAGGGCATCACTTCTAAGCACAGCTGGAGAATGGGTCAGGATAAATCTCGATGTAGTCCAGCACACCTTACCTCACAGCAGCCAAACTTTGCCCCAGGGGGATTATAAGAACAAGGCAGCATATAGCAAAATTTCCCCAATGTCTGTTTTTCCTTCCAGCAGCCTATGATCCAGAATTATCTCTGAAGATGGTTTCAAGGACTTCTAGGTCACAAAGTTGTCCTGTCTCCCCTTTGGCTCATGCAAACTTTTAGCATCCATGACCTCCTACAGCAGTTCCACAGCTCAGCTGTGACCCGTGCAAAGGAACACCTCTTTTTGCTTACGCCTGTCACCAGCTAGTTTCATCTGATGCCCTCTGGTCCTTGTGTTGGGAAAGACATCACGCAAGCAATCCCCATCCACTCTCCACATGCTGCTGGTGACATCAGCACCGTGCGTTGGTGGTATAGTGGTGAGCATAGCTGCCTTCCAAGCAGTTGACCCGGGTTCGATTCCCGGCCAACGCATCACCAAAATCATTTTGCTTTGGCCTGGATAAATGCCAGGTGCCCACCAAAACTACTCCATCACTGCCCCTCCTCAGCTGGACAGGGGAGAGGAAATATGATGAAAGGCTCGAGGGTCGAGACAAGGACAGGGAGAGATCTCTCACCAACTGCTGTCACGGACAAAGCAGACTGACCTTGGGGAGAAAAGGTATTTTAATTTATCACCAACCAAATCAGAGTAGGATAGTGAGAAATAAATTCAGATCTTAAAACACCTTCCCCCCACCCCTCCCTTCTTCCCGGGCTCAGCTTCTCTCCCGTTTCTCTACCTCCTCCTCCCGAGCGGCACAGGGGGACGGGGAATGGGGGTTACGGTCA